ATGTGTGTGTATATATATATATTTTATATATATATATATATATATATATATATATATATATATATATATATATATATATGTTGTATATGTTGCTTATATTATTGACATAACCTTGACATAACCTTGAAATTATAGCAAAAATTTACGTACTCATTTTACAAATCGCATGAAATATAAGACGCAATCTTATTACTTGATTATATAACCTTGACATAACCTTGAAATTATAGCAAAAATTTACGTACTAATTTTACAACTCGCATGAAATATAAGACACAATCTTATTACTTGATTATATTATTACTCTTTTATCTTTGACTTTTGAAAAATATCGAAAAAAATATACAGTTAAATATAACGTATATTTCAAAAGAGGATAACCTTGACATAACCTTGAAATTATAGCAAAAATTTACGTACTAATTTTACAACTCGCATGAAATATAAGACACAATCTTATTACTTGATTATATTATTACTCTTTTATCTTTGACTTTTGAAAAATATCGAAAAAAATATACAGTTAAATATAACGTATATTTCAAAAGAGGATAACCTTGACATAACCTTGAAATTATAGCAAAAATTTACGTACTAATTTTACAATTTGGCATGAAATATAAGACGCAATTATTACTTGATTATATTATCACTCTTTTATCTTCGACTCTTGAAAAATATCGAAAAAACATACAGTTAAATATAACGTATATTTCAAAAGAGTAACGAAAGGTATTGAAAATGATTCACATTGTTAGAAACGTTCCCCGTTTTACTTCGGCAAAATCGGTAGACAATGACTTTATTATTTTCTGATTCCATCGATCCAATTAGCCCGGCGTGCCCCGGCTTAAATATTGAAACGAGAAACGTGGAGTATAATAAAAAAAGGATCGGAGTGTACAGTCGGCACTAATTGACGTTGCATGCGCGTGTAACCAACGTCATATTCGAATGGCGGGCGCGTCGGCCATTTTTAAGGAAACAAATTATTCAATTATTTTTTGAATAATGAGAAACTGCTCGTCGAAATGCATTCGCTAAAATATTACATATACCCTTCCTCCGTCAGCGTTTATTACATTTGTATGCTTTTTCCGAACGATTCGTTATATCATTGCGCTGTCAAGGATTACGATCGTGTTGTTAACACCGAGAAAGTATCCTTCCTACGGTCAAATATTTCTCGAAACTCTCGACTGAACCGAAGGAGAAACTATTCAAGATTTTTGAAGCAATATTGTATACACCTATTCTTGTATTCTCTGTTGATACTTCGCAATGGTGCGGTGTTCGGCGAACAAAAATATTTGCGTACTTACACTTCGATAGCTTTGTTCCAATTAATTACATATCCGGACAGAACGAACGTCTCGATGTGGAGCACGTGGATGTTTCCTCGCTCCGTGCCAACATACAGCCATTTACTTTGCAGCGGTAGGTGAATGCAGGTTATTCTGTGCAAAAAGAAAATAAATGACGCTGTTATACACACGCTGCGATACTATTTCATCTTTTTCAGCTTTTAATTCCACAAGAGTTCGTCATTTTTGCTTTTTTTTTATCGATGCGAGAAGAATAATATACGTTATTACACAGAATCAATTTTGTTACACTGATTAAAATCAGTTTCGCTTTGTTAACAAAATATTGTCAAGTAGGAGCAAAAATTGTATTTCTCATGCAATATTGAATACCGAATATCCATGTGTTATCCATGTATTATAAATGCGTAAAATTAACTCGACTAACCTTGGCACGCTAATTTTAAAGACCGTACGAAATATTGTGCATTGAAATTACATTTCACTGCTGGACGCTGGTGAGAGCGGAATAACAATCTTGGAAATTTTGTTAAACGATGCGAACAAATGCGTCGGCGTTACGAAACGATCGCACAAAGGGACACGTAATACGAGTGCTCACCTTTCTCTCTGAAATTTTAGACTCTGCACGACTTGTGGAATCTTCTGTCGGAAATTCCATAGATGCAAGGTGTCATCCGCAGTCGCGGAAACCAAAGCTCCTTCGTTGACCAGAAACTGTAACTGTATCACAGCCGAGCATCCCTCATGTTTCACGTGCGCGTCTACACCGGGTCGACCCAAACTGTTTTTGCCGGGCTTACAATTAAGGACAATAGCATACGAATACAATGGTACTTGCGGAGACACACAACGGTTGCACAGCTTTTATCTAACCATTTTTATCGGTGTAATTTCTCTCAGAAATGTTCGGTGGTTGGAATTGAAACCGGCGGATCCGAGAACATTAAGTCGCGATTTTTCTGGTTTCGCAGCTCGTTTTTATATTAACTTTTTTATTTCTAACTTTTTGCCACAATTCGAAGACAATTCTGAGGCCATAGACACGATTCGAAGGCAATTCTGAGGCCATAGACACGATTCGAAGGCAATTCGGAGGCCATAGACACGATTCGAAGGCAATTCGGAGGACATAGGCACGATTAGAAGGCAATTCGGACACCACAGGCACGATTCGAACGCAATTCGGAGGCCACAGACATGATTCGAAGGTAATTCTGAGGCCACGTGACACGATTCGAAGGCAATTCGAAGACCCAAAAAGGCCATTTTATTATATAAGCATATACATGGGCGTAGAACTAGAGCAGGGAAATTCACAGCGACCCGAAATTTGGCATTTCCGAGAGAATTTGCTGTGTATTTAATAGATATTATATATTTAAGATATTTAAGATATTTAATATATAAAAGAAATATATCAATTATAACATACCATAACATTTCTGAAGGGATGATTGGAACAATCAATAATTCAATGGTAAAAGATAGGTTTCATTGCTCCAACTTAATCAATAATATTGCTTCGGTAATAATAATAGCAGCAGCTTGAAAAATAAGCTTAAATGAGCAGTGATTTTTGTAATTACTTGCATAAATATTCCTTTTTAACATTTTACCACAATACAAAAGTATCGCGACCGAAAATCGAAGCTACGAAAGAGCTTCGCGAGACAAAGTTGAAGTTGCTAATTTTTTAATTATATTCCGACGTCCGCGGATAATTAATTCTAACAGGAACGGGGATAAATTAGGCTGCGGCGTAAAATATTTTCGGAAAGCCGCAACGTGGAACGGCCAGGCCACAGTAACCACCGATATTTCAGGACTTCAAAGAAGCGCGGAACAGCTCGTCAAGAGCGAAAGAAAAAAAAAACGGAAAACAAGTTCGGCAAACAGCGCGGAAGTCTATATAATCCTGGATTAATCGTAACGGGAAAAAATTCCGTGCGCGCGGCCGGCAGAGGAACGTAAATGTTCAAAGCTGTTTTAAACGTACGTTCTCTCTCTCTCTCTCTCTCTCTCTCTCTCTCTCTCTCTCTCAAGGTATCGTCGAAATTGTGTTTTGCTCCGGCGGTTCAATTTAGTTCGCTTCTTAGACCTTTGTATTCGGCCCGATGAAACTTTATTTCTGTATGTATAAATCGGATTTTCCGGAGAGAGAGAGAGAGAGAGAGGGGGGGAGAGAGAGAGAGAGATTTTTCGACGAGACGAAACTTTCATGCATATGCATATACATATATATGTATATATGTATTCAGCAGAAAGTGGAATCGAGGAAACCAGATAGGTCAACCGAAAACCGAGATAATACTCAAAAAAAGCCGATGTCGGTCTTGGCCACCTACATATGTAAACTACCGTGTACGTCATCATTCGATCGCGGACATTGTGGCACGCAAAATGTGTCAAAGCATGCTATAGCAACGAAATCGATCAACGATAATTTATTTTCGGTAAAGATTTATAGAGTTTTTTTTTTAAATAGTTTCTTGCTCTAATCGCTCCCACTTGAACACACTTTTTTCCATTCGGCAATGTCTTGAAACTGCCTGCAAATTGTGCATACAACTCGACAATTTTCAACGATATGACCATGCTCTGGTCGATCCAAGAGACGCGATTTTTTTCTCGTGAAAGGTATCCTTTTACTATTTATCCTTTTACTTTTACTATAAAGCGTGCCATCCTTTTGTCGCGGACCGTAGAAACGAAAGCCCGACGCCAGCGTGGAACAAATAAAAATTACGTTCACCTGAAAGCGCGGCATCGTTTTGCAACATTTCCGATTCGTTTGCCGCGACGAAATTTGCCGGGAGGTTTACCGTTTAATTACAAAGTACACGAAATAAATGTGTATTCGATATGGAGCGACGATAACGATAATAAAATATAGCTATGCATGTATGCAAACGACGTAGATAATTTTCTATCCAGCCCTCTTATCTTCTTCCCATAAAAACGGGCATTTGCATGTACATCTGCAATCTAGTTATCATGCATACGAAGGGAACCAACTTTGCTCATGAATTTCTAGTTGATACATGTAACGATCACCGACTTTCCAACGCGTTTGTCCAATTTGGAAAGCTAACGTTGAAAACTTTGATCTCGTGGACTTCGCGAAGCGCGTTTCTATGCGGTAAGAATTCAATTCTGTCGTCAATTTGCTCTTCTCATTTCGTACAAGAAAGTTTAGCGAACTTTCACTTTGATCGCTCGCATAATATCTTCTGCGAAGGCCTACGTGCCCGCTCGGTGCGCCTATTAAAAAGCGTTGAAAGCGTAATACGAAACGAACGATGCCGATCGCTTGTAAACGTTAATCAACGGCGTAAAAAATATATAAATATATATTTATATATATATTAATATATATAAATATAAATATTATATTTATTATTATTTATTATTATATATTATATTTATATATATAAATTTATATATAATATTAAATTAAAATTTATATATATAAATATATATATAATATATAAAAAATATCTTCAACGTTAATCTCTCTGTACGCAAATTTTGATTAATTCTGTAAGAACGCGCGATTCAGATGCTAACAATCCGCTCGCTCGTTCGCCGAGCACAATAATTTCTCCCTAATTCGCGCGCAAAAATGGACAATTCGAGAGGAGGAGGTACGATTGTTCGAGCCTCGCGGCTCGATTTTCTAGTTACAACTATGCAAAACAACCATAAAAACGAGCCACATTGCGAAGCGTAATTGCAAGCCTGCTTCCAAATTGTTCATTTTCGTGCAAATTGCTGCACTGCGTTCTCCCGCTCGTGTAAGCGCACGAAGATCCAGTCTCATCGCGACATCGAATTTCCTCGATTCTCCCTTTTTCTTCTTTTTTTTTTCTCTTTCATTTCCACCCGTTCGTGCAATCATCGATTTTCGTTACACTTGATACAGAGACAAGATCGATACCCTTGCACGGGCCGTTCAGAGATTTTATTGAGCAATAAAGCGCGACGTTTAGTTGAAAGTAGTTACTTTGTAGAAACCGGCTATCTCGACGGCAACCAGGAAGCTTATCGAGCTGTGATGAGCATCCACTCTCTGGTAACTCTTTAGTCCGGGAGTCGGTAGTACAGACCAATAGAAGCACCCACGTGAGAGAACACGTGGCTGGCGAACCATGAAACAAGTGTGCAGTGTAATGAATCCGTACAGATTCGATAATTTTACTACGGATCCCGCAGGATCGTTCGCGGCGAAAGGGTTCGCTCGGATCGCTCGTGTGCGGATCACTCGAAAAAAAAAAATTCTTATCGACGATGCGTGCGCTATGAATCGCGAGGCCCCGGAGTGCACTTACACGGACGCGGGTTTCCCGACGGATTTTCTTTGGAGCGCGGACACACGTTTGCAGAGCTGTCGAATCGGATCGTTTCGAATACGGAATTATGAGACGCCTTTTCATTTCGCCGTCGCCGTCGCCGCCGCCACGGCTGAATTATTTCGTCGTAGATAAATATTCATCGGGCATTTCCGCGAACTCGACTGAAAAATGCACGTGATGGCACGTAAGTCCCGTTTCCGCGCGAAAAATCAGTAATATTTCGATAAACTAGGAATATATACGGGACATAATCTTATGAAATCACGAGCAAAGATTTTATCAATTTTTTAAGCGACTGATACGAACAAGAATAAATAATATTATTTTTATAATTATATGTTTATAATATTTATTTTCATATTATTATTACCGACTGCTGAACACTTTTGTTATTATAATGCTTGATCTTTGTAATCAATTATCCGATACAAAAAGAATTGTTACAGTTACTTACAAAATTGTTACTGTTAAGTTACTTATCACCTATTAAGTTGATAGGTAATGAATTAAGTTAGCAGGTAATAAATAACATAATAGTAACTATTATTTAAGTAACTATGTATAGCATTTTTTTTTTAAATTGTGATCACAGAGATCAACCATTACAATAACAAACATGAGTTAATAATAGATATTGTTTTATATCCTTGTTCCGATGGTAAATGCATTCACGTACACGTTTTTTTTATGATTTTCATCATCAAGAAAATTAACAGTAACTATATTTATCCTTTATAATATATATAGATATATAATAAAATAACTATTTTTTTCATAAGCTCGTATTTGGTTAATAACAATGGTAAACGTGGAACGTTAATTACGCGTTGAATAGAACGGAATCAAGTTGAGATTCAATTGTTTAGTTAACAGAACGCGCAAACGATTGTTATGCATTTATACGCGAACGATGCTTGACTGAAAGGGAAGTATGCGAATAATAAATGCGGTGTTCCGCGCGGACGAAAAAGTCGCACAAGGGTCTGTGTGCAACATTCCGGCATCAATGCACGATAAAATGGAAGTGTATTCATTGTTTCGCTTAACAAGCAATTAGCCGTCAAGTGTTGCTGCGATGGAAATTTAGAGATGAATAACAAACTGTCGAGTGAAATGTTCGGTACTACGTTCAATGGATCGTGTCTCGATTAAAACAAGAAACGAGACATTAAGAAACTAATTACGGTAATGTGTTTCCGGCAGTTTTATTCGTGATTGAAATTCTCGTTGTGCAACTGGGTTAACCAGTTTCTAACCGATATAAAGTGTTAGCCGAACTTATGTTGGAAGTTTCATTACTTCGTTAACGTTGCAATCCCGGGGTAATAAATAGAATTAGTCGGGCAATTTTACAGTAACTTATCGAACTGTAAATCGCGCGCTTGCGTGCCACGAAGTTAATTATAGAAGCGCGGCATACGTTTTAGTT